CCCTTCAACAGTGTTCAAAAGAATAATGACAATCTTCTGCCCTTCGCGATGGCACAAAACTTGAGAATCCTGAACATATCCAAAACGTTTCACAAGCACTCCAAGTACATGAGCTGGATTGGTGTCCATCTGAAAAAAACAAAAATATTGGTGAATTAGCTTAGTTAATCTCAATCAGAGGAGTTCCTAATAGTCCAAATTGACTAGAATAACGCCATAGATCGAAAGCTCGACGTTCCGTGGTTGGATCAAAGTTATCATGGAGATCAGAAAAAACAGAAAACCCGTGTGGGCTTCAATGAAAACTTTATTATTGTGGGCTTAGGCTTAATAGATAGGCTTTCCAGCATTCAAACAAACCTCACAGATCGATATCGAGGATTCTCGGGCAGCTGACTTGATGTACTTGATGTTGACTGAAGTTAAGACAATATACACAACATAACCTAAAATTAGCTTCCTTTTTACTTAAAGAATCAAATTTGGTTGTCTTCAAGGTTGTAGCCAGAGATTGTACTTTTGGGACTAGTGCAATCATAACTTCGATTAGCTCTTATTTATTAGGTAGCTAGATGTTAACTCGCCAGCAAGCCAAGTTTGGACTGGTCGAGCCAGGCTACCATTTCGATCGACTCTGATTAAGATAAGGTAAGGCTACTGATAAGGTAGCGCAGAATAGATCTAAAAAGAATCGATTTTTTTTCTTATTGATAAAAGACTTTAAAGCGTTGCACTTCAAATTTCAAACCTTTTCAACGAGCTCCATTTCCTCAATGGGAGGATTGAAGATGATTGCGCCGAAAAAGGCCTCATCCTGCACACCATTCACATCAGTTTTGCTGCAAATTGAGGCACATCGCCGGTTTTACCGGCACATCTCTCGCTCTCGATTCCGAGACTTCCAAGCTAGAACCATTTGCTTTTGTACAAGAAATGTCCCACTCACATCAAAATATTGCCCAAACAGATGATATATTGGGTTGGTGAATCGAAAACTGCCGGACTTTGAACTAAAATTTATTCAACATAAAACCATGAATTCATTCGAAATAATTTCCATTATTATTGACGACTTCTGCCCATTTTACAGGCAATTTGCGGATTCCTCTTTCGTAGTAGGATTTTGGTTTGTGTGTGAGACAAGTGTGAGACTCAAAAATGGGGACTTGTACCAGTTTGAGCAATTTCTTCAAAAGAAACCCATTTTCGTGTCAATAGAAAAGTTGTAGAGAATCAAAAATTAGGCTTATAGCCAAATTTTCAGAAAGATACACTTAGTGGTTTCGCTTAAAATGCAAGTTTTGTGAAAATTCGTAAATTTGGCATTTCTTGTAAACCAGTTTTTGAATCGTTCTGAAAATTTGGATATAATCGATTTCAATCGGAATATTTTTGGATTAATCCATTAAAATCCATCCGTCCATTCAAAAATCGCTTTATCCATTGCAGTCAAAAGAAATACTAATCAGAATTGAGCTAGTATCACCAAAACCAAAAAATGTTTAAAAAAGGTGCAAGCTTTAGCGCCGAAAATTTCTCAAAATGCACCCTCATCACCATTTTATTTCAAAAAATGTAGACGTTAATTATTTAGCTAAATATCTTTAACCTACTTCCAGTAATTTAAAAAAGTTCAGTCGAGCAATTATTTTATTTTTCGCGTGCTCTTGAATTAGCCAATCTTACATTTTTACGCCTTTCTATTTCTGTCGCCCTATCTTTTCTCTCGTGCAAAAACCACACTGTCCCTCCATAAAGCGCCTAGTTATATGCCTGTCCTGTATTTGAATCCTTTTCTTCCAAAAATTATTCCGTAAAAGCGTTCTTTTTGTTTACGAGGACTCCTTCCCGCGTCAATCTTGCTCTTTTTAACATTTTATCTACTTAAATTCGTTTTTATTTTTGTTTTCAGAGAATGTCTGTTCAACCAGTCAACCCAAAGCCGTTCCTCAATGGACTCGCCAGAAAGCCAGTTGTGTGCAGATTGAAGTGGGGAATGGAATATCGAGGCGTCCTCATCTCGGTCGACGGTTACATGAATGTCCAGGTGGGGTTGTCTTTGTGTAAAGTTTTTATGGCATAGCTTAAAGCTGGTTTAGAGAGGTACGTCCTGAATTTTGTTAGTTTTGATGTCGCCTGTGAACAGTCAGATATATGACGAGTAAGCTTGCTTAGGCCTAGGCATTCACAAATCAATTTTTTACCTTTTAGATGGCTAACACGGAGGAATACCTTGATGGAACAAACACTGGAGCGTTGGGAGAAATTTTAATAAGGTGATTAATGTGACTTTTATCTAATTTGTTTAAATTTAGGTGCAACAACATCCTCTACATCGGAGGCGCCGAAGACTCGGAAGGTTAATCCCCTAGTTCTCATTGTTTATCATTTTGCTAACTTGTTACAAGGAAAGTTTACATGCGAATTAAAAGGAAATGTTGTTGCTGTTGTGTGAAGCTGTTGCCAACTTGTTGAGTGTGTAATGTTATTATTGATCTCTTCCGTATTTTTATGAATAAAGTTTAACTTGTTGAGTTAATGGGACCGTGACCGTGGGGACCATGAACTCTAACCAGAAAGAGGCAGAGGTGGCGACCGCTCAACGAAAAAACCAAGACGGTTAGTTTTAAAGATTCTCTTTGTTTACAGCTGATTTAGGTCACCATCCCCTAAACGTAAAGCTACTCCAGAAAGGCGAAGACGGTAATGGAGCTTTGCACCTTTTTTCATGAAAATTATTTAGATCTCGATCACCAAAGTGTCATGTCAGTCCCGAACGGCAGAAGCGGTTAGTTTGACCTGGGTTGCATTCAGTATTAGTGATTTAGGTCGAGGCTCCTCAAAAAGTATACAAGAACATTTTATGAAAAGAAAGAGACTGTTGATTTATTGCGTTCTCGCACTGGAGGCGCATACATCCCACCAGCGAAGCTGAAGTTGATGCAAGAACAAATCCAGGTAATGCACCAAATGATAACGTGGCCTCAGAAAAAATTTAGGATAAATCGGGTGAGCAATTTCAACGATTGAATTGGGAGCGTCTGAGGAAAAAGATCCACGGTCTCGTCAATACAGTCACGGTAGCAATCTTCTCGGAATTGTGCGAGAGCTTCTTCAAGAAAACATTATCCGTGGAAAGTTTGTTTTGAGCATTTTCTCAAGTAAACAAAATTTTAGGGGTTTGCTGACTCGATCGATAATTCAAGCACAAGCCTTTTCTCCAACATTTTTATATGTATACGCTGGTTTGGGTGGAGTGATTAATTCCAAGATTCCTGTTATTGGTGAATTGACACACTTAAGTCTGTTTCACGGCTTTAGGCTTTGGAAATTATGTATGACTGTGACGGTGACTGTCAGTAAATTGCTCGCACATTTGATCAATCAACAAGTGGTATGCTGTTTTTCTTTGAATATGAATCTATGCATATTTAGGCTCACGAGTTGCTTGCTCTTGACACCAACGAAACACCAACGAAACACCAACGAAAGATTCAGCTCAAAACACCAACGAAAGATTCAGCCGAAGTGTGTATTGCAATAGTGCTTTCCTAAAAGAATGTGGCGCGAAACTGACAGAGGTTTGCTTTATGTGGAAGCGCTTATTGAGAAATGATTTTTGAGATTTGAAAGATGACGCTCAATTTTATCGATTTAAATTTTAGAAAACTTCAGACGAATTGAATGCAATATTTAAATACTTATTTCAGCCCAACCTCAACAAATGGAAACCATTGACAACACTGAGCAAAATCTCGTTGCTTTCCGTCGCGAAGTTTACCTGACAATTCAATCATCGCTCGACTATCATGAGGCGGCCCACAAACTTCTTAAAATGGGTGTCAAGCCAGAATTGGAGATTGGGCTTATTGATAGAATATAAAACATTTCTAACTCTTTCCAATTACTAGGTACTTTAACCTTGGAATTAGCTTTTGTTAAATATTAAGGTACCTAGTAATAGAAAAGAGCCACATTTTTTTTCATTTTAGCCGGAACTCATTCACATTCTCGTTGATTGTTGTGCACAGCAACGTACTTATGAAAGGTTTTATGGACTTCTCTGCGAGCATTTTTGTCGGCTGAAACGTGAATTTGAAGTTAGTTTCAAAAGTATATGACTATTTTTTTATTTGGATCTTCGCGAGTTTTTGCGAAAAGGCGGAAAGAGGAAGAAATCTGACTCCGAATCAAGCTCTGAATTCTCTTCATCATCATCCGACGATGACATCGACAGTGACTCTGATACTACTTCTTCAAGCTCCTCAGATTCGGATTCAAGTGGGGATTAGTAATTTTTTTATAGTTATACTTTTATACTTTTTTATACAGTGCCGAAGCAAAGCGAAGCGTGAAAACAGTGATCATCAGCTTCTTTGAGTAGGTGTCCAGCCTAGATTTATCAGAACGGTATAAAGAAAGCACAGTTTTGTTAAGAATTCTTCAAGAATGCTTCATGATTCCTCAAGATGGAAAGGCCAATGATTTTTAATTTCCTGGGAAATGGAAAAGTTCTTGGAGCAGAGGAAAGCCACCGATCCCAAAACAAATGTTTGTTTCTCCGAAAATTGGACAGAATCTGTATCGAAATTTCTGGGGGAATCGATCGAAATCATTTGATCATCTCTTTCGAGGAGCACAACAAATACGGACGATTGGAGAATCAATTCCTGTTCTCAACGAACACCATTACGGATCATCTTTCCAAAAAAAATCGTCACATTGAGCCGTTTCAAACTGAAATTCCCTGTCATTTGTAAATCGTTATTGACTTTGTAAATCGGGCATTCTCCTCCTTTCTCATTATTTTTCGTGGTAAGAAATCCCTATTTTGCTTGGCAACAAATTTCTTGTTTGATTTTGTCTTCTCTCATCAATTCTGCCTCTTTAGTAGCTTTTTCCTTCAATTTTCACTTGTTCTTCGAGAAAATTCAGCCATTATGTAGGTATCCAATCCAATTTGTAGGTAGAGCATCTCTTCTTTTTCCAAATCTCCCGAAATGCCGGAAATGACTGAAGAATTGCCTGAAAAGAGTGTCAAGCGCATAGAAGAACCGGCCATCTCGTTGCCGAAAATCGCCCAACTTGAAGCCGATTTGTGGGTTTTTCGCCAAATCTTTGCTTCTATCAAAAACAGTCTTTAATTTAATCGAAGAGTTTAGGGAAGAAATGAAAGAGGATCAAGACATCAAGTTGAGTCGAGTGACAGCAAAAATCGCTCAAATCGAGGCAAATTTAATGGGGAAAATCGCGAAGTTGGAGGCTGATTTGGTTGACGGAAGGGAGAGAAATCGAGAATTGGAAAGGAAAATCGCCGAGACGAAAAGGAAGAACGACGATCTCGAGGCACAATTGTACTAATTTTGTAACTTTCTTTTCTGACAAGCTCAATATATAGTTAAAATGCGAACTCTTTTCAGAAGAACTCAAAATACGGAAGTGAGGCAAGGAAAGGCCAAGATTGAAGAGCTCGAAGGGAAAATCAACGCGTTGCAGAGTAAAAACTTTGATCTCGAAACCCAAGTGAAGTTGCAGGCAGATTTGTGAGTTTTTTAAGGAAAAAGATTGGGTAGTTGTCTAAAAGTCTGGTGTGAAGTTTTTCGAAGGAATTCAGAAGATACAACTCAAAATAAAATATAGATAAAAATCGAACTGATTTAGAGGAACTCAAAATACGGAAGGGAGAGACGGGAAAGCCAAGCTTGAAGAGCTCGAAAGGAAAATCAACGCGTTGCAGAGCAAAATCTCTGGCTTTGAAACCCAAATGTGAGTTTATTTGGTATCTCTTGTCGACTGAGATTTGAGAAAAAAGTTTTCTTTGACCCTCAAAATACCCATTTCACTGAATCCAATCAATTCCTCTCTAGAGAATTTGAAAGGGAAAACGAAACGGCCGAAATGGTGAAGTTGCGGTCGGATTTGTGAGTTTTTTTGAAGGAAAAGGATTTTTATTCGTTTAAAAAGTCTGAAGTAAAGTTTTTCGAAGATTCAGAAAATTCAGAAAGCGAACGATGAATTTCTTGGATCCGGATGGATGGTCGTATTTGGAAAAAACCGCTTCTTGGTACAAGGTTTGGTGGGTGTTGTGAACCAGGATTATCTTCATCTCAAGGTTATCGGAGAAGAAATGACATTTGATGAATCGGTAGCATATTGTGCGAAGCAAAAGGGCCATTTAGTCTCAATTCACAGTCGGGAAGAGAACAATTTTGTTTGGAGACTCGGTAAGAAATCGAAATGATTCAATTCTGAAGGTTCATGATTTTCGTAGAAATTTCTGCTTTATAAACCAAAAACAATCGATGTTTATTCCAGCGAAAAGGGCTTTGTCGGGCTGTTTTTTCTCAATCGGACTGAAGGTTGAATTTTTCTTATTGTAAGACATAGATAAATAGAAAGGAATAATTCTTTCAGCCATTCACGGAAGGCTCTTTGTGCAAAATGATCGTTGACTGATAGTTTTTTGATAGAAAGAATGGTTTCAATTGAAAAACTTATTCGAGTTTTTCAATTTCGAATAATAAGCAAGGAAAATCGGAACGAAATATTAATGTCTAAACTTAAAAATTTCTTTATTCAGGCAAATCCGAACAAAGGAAATGCTTTTGAATGGACGGATGGAAGTTCGGTGGATTTCACGTATTGGAAGCCGCCTTGGGAGCCGGATTCGAGAACCCACGCTTTTGTGAGATTTTCGACGTGAAATAATCAATATATTTTTCAATTTCCAATAATTAATCTAAAATTATTTCGATCAATTTGGGGAAACTTCTTTGTGGGAAATAACGCAAAGGTTTTATCAAAGGATTTTTGATCAGGAATGAACACATTTCAGATTCGGATCTACGATGGGACATGGCTTGGCTCTTCTCCTACCGATCGGCGTCCTTTTATCTGCAAAAGGAGCTTTGAATTTTGATAGATGCTTTGTGTTCTTTTTTGTGGACAAAAACCAATAAATCCCATTTTATTCAATCTTCTGAAAACACACAACTGCACATTATCTTTTTCTTTATTTCGGAATTGTTTCTTCAAAATCTCATATAAAAAGTTTTCCCAGGAACGGAGAATTCCGCCTGAAGCTGCAAGTATTTTGCTCTCTCGTCGCTCCTGAATAGACTTTTAGATAAACGTGTTGAACATCAATGGACATCAGCATGCGGAAATTGACAATTCTTCGTGAGGGTCGCTCTTCTCGTCCCTCAACTCGTCGATTTGTCTTTGATTTTTGTTCCTGAAGTTCTCAAAAATTTGATTTATGTTTTTTTTCGACTCACCGTTGGTTTCATATGCGGAGATTTTTGTCTCGTTTTGGCTAATCTTAACAATTAAGCAAGTAGATAATGTATGTAAGTATTGTAGATATGATGAGCTGTGAATGTCTTTATGGTCAAAAGCGGAATGAAATCCCATTTTCAGCCGAAATTTATTCGATGAAATCATTTAGCTATGTACATATCACTACATTATTTCAACAAGCTTGCTTTCAAAGTGGTCGACTATATAAGGTGCCCGTTAGTGATGTCAAACTGAAAGCGATCAAATGGATTTAATTCGAAATTCCCCATTCATTTGCGTCGTGATGTTCTCGGCGACGTTTGCGAAGAATTATGTGTAGCTAAGCGGATTTCTTTGTCCAAATCCAAAAGCTCTTTGAGGCACGAGTGGCGAGTGAGGATAAAGTTTAAGACACCATTTAGAAGGACGTATTGACGAAGCGTTCCACAAGTTTTCAATAAAATGATCCATTCGGCGAAACGGGCCGATTTAAAGGCAAATCCCCTCAATTTTGGGGAAAGTTTGAGTAGTAGGAAGCTCATTGCTGAGAATGATCGATTTTGGATAGGACTAGAATCCCCTCAACGATTCCTGAACAGATAGCTCAAGGAACAACAGAAAAGTGACACAAAGCCTTTAGCTATCTGTATCATTGGCATCACATCGATTCATCAGCTCACGATTGCACCTCATCCCGAAAATGCGCGATGAGACCGGTGTTGAGATCTGGTGGCTTTCCTCTGCTCCAAGAGCTTTTCCATAATTCCGGTGTTAACATTCTGAAATTGACATTTGGACATCAAGTTGAAAGAACAAACCTCGAGTTTCCTCGAGGGTCCTGGGGAATATTGGGAGATAAGGAAGCTGTTTCGATCGAGTCCCCGAAGAACCTCGTCGAATTTGTGACTGCAATTTTTATTAAGCCGCCGGCATCCCCCGACCAACTTGAGCTTTCGATCCAAATGTCGGAGATCCTCGTTGTTCGCAAGCACTTGTTGCAGAGTCTCCTTGGAAATCTGAAAAGTTTCAGTTTCTATATTTATGGCTGACACAAACATGCACATTTCAGCCTTATGCCGGTCATCGAAAATGGTGGCTCTATTCTCCTAACTAGGGTTTTGTTACAGACTATCTTAAGCCTAATTTGGCTACCCTTTTGAAGCCTGACGTTTATGAAGACTTTTGGTCGTGAAGAGTTACCTAGCTTCCCTAATCTCCACAATTTCAAGATTTTCCGGTTGTATATCATTCAATTTGCCATTTGCCGCGTAGATGAAATCGCCAAAGACGCGACTCTGAAATAAAATTGAAAAGTGGCAGCTTCAACTGAAACGTTTTTATAGTCTTGTAGAGTGCAGACTCTGCACTGCACTCTACAAGTACAAGACCCTGGGAGTTTTTGCAGCCAAAATAGCTTTTTCGACCGTTCTTTTTGACTTGAACATGATCATCGAACTTTTCCCCCATGATAAACTGTTTCAGGGATTGAAAGAAAATGTAAGCTGAGGGGGCTAAGTCAGGAGAATAAGGCGTATGAGGAAATAGCTTCCAGCCCAGCTCGCCAATCTTTTGTGAGTGACTTTTGCAGTGTGAGGTTTCGTGCAAAAATCGAATCTTTGATGGATTGAGCCCCAATTTCTTTGGGGCCCGTTAACTCTAGCCAATTCTTTTGAACAGAGATCCGCATCAATGTTTTCGCCTGAATTAGCTAACTCATAGTGCATCAAGCCTTTCCAGTTCCACCAGCAACAGAGCATTATTTTCTTTCGATGAATATTAGGTTTGGGAGTGGCTTAAGGGGTCTATCCGATAGGTTCTTCCTTTTAACATTCTCGTAATTAATCCAAGTTTCATCAGATGACAAGTTCGAATCCCAAAAATCAGCAGCTTTACATTAATGAAGCAAAAAAGAACTGATATTGACACGAGTTATTTTTTGTCTTAAGTCAGTGCGGGAACCATTTTGCAAAGCAAATTTTTTTCCCGAGTTGGTGCAAATGTTTGTCAATTGTCTTCTGATCAACATCAAACATTTTTGCATGCCCGCGAGTTGTGAGTTGAAGGTTGAAGTCAATTTCAATTCCCCAAAGCGAAACTCAAACGTGCATGATTTTTTCCTCAATCTATTAGGTTGGAAAAAAGTTCGTAGAAAAAGTTTGCACGGTGATTTCTGAAAAAACAAGCCATGAATTCTTCCCAGATTTTTTGATAAACTTGACTGTATTTCAAAAAGTTTTTGAGCAAAAAAATCAGAGTGAGTTTCAGGTAAAAAAGTAAGAGATTTCTTCGGCTGAAATGACTTGGTCACTTTTTTGAGTGATCAGCCTTTAGACAAGTTTTTAATGGGTTAATGAATAGGCAATCGGTCCATTCGAAACCTAAAATCAAGTACTTAAAATAGGGAAAATTTGTGATAAAGTCAAATTTTATCTAATGCTCATTTTTGAACCCGACATACTTTTCGGAATCAAGAAAACAAAATCCTTCTTCGCGACTGAGATTCCGACGAAACGACCGGTCATATCGAAGATACCAGAACCCGAATCACCATATTCTCCATGCGAAGTACCAAGAAAATGGCCAACTAAAAATAATTGAATTATTAAACGGAATCTTAGTAAAATCTAGTTTAAAAATAATATACAATTTCTATAATAGAAACAGGGCATTATTGAAGAACAGGCTCCCACTGGAAGTTGAGGGCTTTCTTTTCAGGCTTTCTTGCTTTTCTTTCTTTCCTATATGATATCTTCAAACACTTAGAAATGGTGATTCTAAGGGGTTGTTCTACGCATGCAAGAGAAATCTAAGAAATATAGTGGAGAGATGGGTTGCAGAGGAGGATCTCCATCTTCAATGGTGCCTATAAACATACCGCGCCTCTCTGAAATAGTCCCTTCTTTCCAAACAGGTTTTCTCTTTTGATCTACTCCCAGCTGAAGCTACTTTTGGCCGCAATACATCGAATCAAAACTATGGTATGATACGGAAACTCTTGGTCAGTTGATTCGAAAATGAGAAAATCGCTCTCCTTGGAAACGGCACTCACAACAACCTGAAAAGCTGAGCAATTAGTTAAGTATAAAAAATAAAGTTACTTTGATGGTTGGGAGGAGCCACTTTTATCCTGGCTTTGTTGGATCTAATGTTTTGAGTGGTATTTCTTTTAGATTAGATATATGCGATTGCTGACTCATACGACTGTGACCTCAAACTATACAAATGTGACTTTTATTTCGCAACAAAAGGGCTCAATTGCTAAAAGCTTTTCATTTAAGATATTTCTTTTTAGACTTTCCATATTTTAGTGATTTTAAACAATTATCTATTAGATTCAATGAGTCGATCATCAACAAGCCGAAAAAGAAACGCGATCATCGAGAAATCGATCGACAATTTCGGTGATGATGGAGAGAAGACTTTCGTCGGCAACGGCGGTTTCGGAGCCGTTTATCTTCTTAAAAATCACAAGCCGTACAATTTTTAAATTACCAATCATGTTCTCAATGTTATTGTGCAAAAGTTTTCTCCTTCAGTCAAGCCGTTGTGAAGTACGTTTACTGCAAGAACAAATACCAGAGAGAGGCGTTTAAGAAAGAATGTGCCACTCTTGAAAAGCTCCGTCACCCGAACATTGTTGCTTACATTCGCTCGAGAAATGTCTCCGATGGTGGCCAACAAATACTGGCAATGGTGATGGAATTCTGTGAGAAGGGATCACTTCGGCAAGGTTGTTAAAAAGCAAATGTCAAACTCCCATTCTTTCAGTGCTTTTCGATGCAAAGATCATCTACTCATCTACATCTAGCATTGAATGGAACCGATCACATTATATCAGAGTGTTCAGAAAATCTTTTCTTTCCTTTTCATAGTTCCATCAAAAATCAACAAATTCACCAATTAACCTATGGTTTGCTCTAAAAAAAATTGTTTTTGTTCAATTCCCCATCTTTTAAAGTCAAGTTCGGTTCACTTTCAAGCAAATTCGAGAGCAAAAACGGGCAGTTCAATTGGTGTATTTATTGGTTTTAAACGATAAAATAAAGAATACATCGGGGACGGCGGGATTTGGTTTATTTACGATATACATCAATCACAATACAACAACACACATAACACTAGGCTATATCTTAACTTAACTCTCTCTCCATGACAGACGGCTCCCTAACCCTAAGCTCAATGGGGAACGAAATAGCTTTTTCTCGTGGCGGAGAGAAGATGACGATGAATGAGAGGCTTGTCACTTTAAAGAACTGGGGCCACAACCACCAGACTACCCTCCAGAAAGCCTCTCAACCCGAAGGGAAAGGAAATCCAAAGGGCGCAACCATGTCGCACGCGGGGTTCGAACCCTCGACCTTCCGATTAAGATAAAAGACACTTAACCAGTCAGCCACACGTGATCATTAGTACGAAAAGGAACGAAAAGACTTCCGGGACAGCCTAATATTTTAGTCTTCTCACCGAAACGATGTCTACAGTATGGGACTTGTGCTTTGGGAGATTGTTGAACGAAGGTGAATGGTTAGACTTTCGTCCAAGATATCTGATCAGTGATAACGGTTTATCTAAAACTTTGAGCTTAAATTCAATAAACGTTTCTTATGTTCTTTTTTGGATAGTTTTTTGGGTAAAATTCCCCGATATTTCGATAAACAAAACCATTTTCAATTACAAGTTTATCAATTGTCTGTGATGGTTATTTAAAATCACTTTTTTTAGCGAAAGATTTCGTTAGACAAATACAATTCAAATGCTAATTTTTATTTAAACAGGCCCGTTTCTACAGCTTTTAACCGTTTTTACAAATTTATTGAGTATTCTTCAAACAGAAATCGTTTCTTTGGCTTCTCTTTAAGTTTTTAAAAGTGTAGATTTTGGAGATTTTGTATATAAACAATCAATCTTGATTTTCAAAGATTCTTCTGTCACAATTTAGTCCGTTATACATTGCTGTCGGTTTTTTTGTACAATTAAAGTGAAAATTTTAGTATCAATCAGAATAAGAAGATACTTTCAAGCTTTCAAACTTATAATTCGATCGAAAAGCTGTCATTTAGTTGCCATTTAGCCAGAAATAAGAGGACGATAAAGAAAAGAGCATTCCAGCCAACCCTCATCAGCACGTATTAGGACTTAAGGGTTTGGATTATGAGGTTTCGTCCTGATACGTGGACCTCCTGGAACTTAAAGAAAAAAAAGAAACAAAAGTAAAGAATATATTAGGTTGATGCATAAGTCTTTTCTTTTTTTCGTACTTCTGTTAAAAAGTAACAAATTCACCAATTAATCTATAGTTTGCTCTATAAAAAAAGTGTTTTTTTGTTCAATTTCCATCTTTTTAAATGAATTTCGGTTCACTTTCAAGCAAATTCGAGAGTGAAAAACGCCTTTTTCGTAAAAATCTATAAAAAACTCTACGGAAAAATTGGCTGAATGAATTTCTCTGAAATTTTGGCGAAATATCAAACCTTTTTTTCTCTATCTTTTATCTATTGACACGAAGATAGGTTTTCTTTAGCTAAGGTGTCTAAACCGCATCATCGAGTTAGCCCTTTTTGACTACCCGACTTCATACTCTCAAGAAAATCCAGGCATAAAATATTTTTAAACCCGTTTTAATGTTATTTTGCAGAAAAATAATTGGTTTTTCTAATGAAATCAACCGTAGTTTAATTGGTGCATTTGTTGGCTTGAAACGGCAGACGAAAAGGAACGAAAAGACTTATGCATCAACCTAATAGTTACGGTAAGATGAAAACATAAATAAGCGACTGTCCAATTAGAGAAAATCGATACGATCGGTCGTTTATTTCAGAAAAAAAGGATAGATCCCAAGTGGGCATATTTCTTTGTTTTATACTTCAACTTGCCCTCCCTATAGAACGGAAAATTTCTTTCTAGTATTCTCTTTCAGTCTACATTGTATCAAGCACTTTCCAAAGAGACCAGAAACATAGTTTCCTCAAAAATGATTTCAATTTGATTTTTCAATTTCCCTTATATTTGTGGTTTTATTTCCCTTGAAAATTTCTCCTAAGTCCCACCTAAGTTAAGATGGCCTTCTGAAATTTGAATACCTAGAAAAAATACCTAGAAAGACCTGGAAACCTACCTAAATCCCAAAATACAGTCGAACCTCTCTATAACGAACCTCGATATAACGTAAACCTCTATATAACGTAAACTATAGCCGGTCCCGTGAGTTACGTTGTAGAGAGGTTCGACTGTACCTAGAAATGTGACCTAGTATCTTGTAAAGCTTTGCATGGAGATTCCGAATTAAGGTGCTTTCAAAAACAGATTCAAAATTCCATACAAAAATCTACGAGATAGGCTAAGTTTCATTTAACTTCGAGTAGTTATTTTGCAAGCAATCTCTCCTATTACGACTAAAATCTTGGGGCAGGGGCAAGGTGGTGAGAGAATGAGAGAATCTAAGAGTAAAGGAAAGAATTTTCTCGATGCCTGGATGGTTGTAGGCTGTATTTTTGGAGTTTAAGCCAGACATTTTCGGAAGGAAGCGATGATGTGGCGGACACTTATGGGTTTTGGGCTTTATAGAAAGGGGGTATATGGGGGGAATGAAATGATGTGATTGGTTGAGGAAAGGGAGAGGTTCGGCGAGGGGGCAAAGTATGATTCACTGTACGGCTTCTCTTCTCTACTCTTCTCTGCTCTTCTCCTTTTTTAGCCCTTCTGCATGTGTACTTTCTCTAGAAATGGAAAGAACTTGAAAAGTGGGAGAACCTGGAAATCAAAAGGAAGAACATTCTAGATGCCTAGAGAAATTTTGTTGTTAATGATTGGATAAGCCTAAATAAAGTTTCAAGGTAAAATCTTCAAATTCAAATCGTTAGATACTCTTTCAAATGGAAATGTATTTCATGAAATAACGCTAGCAAATGCTTGTTCAACGTCAGAATATCGTTGAGGTTTGGTGAAGGTTAGAAAACCTTAATGAACATCATAACCTCTACTTGATTCTGCCAAAAACATCTACTTTTAAGCTCTTGAGATTTTGGTATACTAGCTGGAGCGCAAAATAGGAACGGAAAGGCTGTACGAGAAATAGAATGACATGTCATTCTACCAAAGAAACTACGGTATTTTACCCAATACGACAAAGTCTCAAACTTGTTATACAAATGATCAACTTTATTATATGATCATAAGCCCCGATCCCTTGTATATCGTGACTCAACTGTAACTGATTGATCACTCAAACTTCACATGCCTGTTTATCACCCTTCTTTCCCCCAAAACTGCTCGCTTTTTTGCTTCGGATGACCCGCCAAACATCGAGTTCCCTTTTTTCCAAATTCAATCAATACTAATAATTCATGATTATACCCTTCAAAGTTGGATACTTTGTATTTGTAAGATCCCTTTGTGTTTTGATTTTGATTTGTAATTGTTACATAAAGCCTTAAAAAAAGGCGTAAGCCAATCAAAATACTGCCCCTGTCACACTCTTTTATCACTCTTCTGTTCCCTTTCTGTTCCCCTCTCATCTTGCCGCCTTTTTCTTTGGTTTTCACCACTATTTGAGTTTCTGGCCGGAATCATAAAAAGATAATAGGTATTAGATCTCCCGCACCGTTAGGTCAAATTTATAGTCAATTGGCCCCAAAAGAAAAGCTTACGCCTTCATGAAATAAATAGGAATTCAGCATAGTTAAACTTAGTGACTCGATTTGTTTTGCTAAGTTAAAATTTTTGGCTCATCTATGCTCCGTTAATGACCGAGTGTGTTTCAAGTTGAAAAATTCGATTTGGCCTAGCCTCAACCGTTCGGTGTTTGATTGACTAGTCCCCAGTGATCATAACAAGATAACTTATATGTCTTAGTTACGAAATAACGACAGTCTACTCGACTACTAGTCTACTCGACAGTCTCATTTTGCCCCCTTTTTCTTTGCTGTTCACCACTATTTGGATTTCTGGAATAAAGCATAAAAATATAATAAACGCGCCCGCACTGTTAGGTCAAATTTACTGTCACTTGAAATATATGCTGACAAACAATTTTGTTACCAATCTGTGGTTCCCATTGAGCTTCTGAATCGTTAGCCTGCTGTCCTCTTTCCAAGTCCATTACCTGTAACCTCATTTTCGTTAAAAATTAACTAACCAATTAAATTTCAGCCTCAAGGTTGGCATGTCGAGCACAAATAGTGGAGAAACAACTTCGGACTGCTTCGATCGGCCAATCATCGATGAGGTTACTAAATACTTTTTTTTTATAAAAATCACTATTGTTTAACTTAAGCTAAGGGTAAATAAATTTAGGTATATGTATTAGGCTTTGCCAGAAGTAGCCTTTTGGAGCGCTGATGCCCATATAACCAATGAATTGATTAAATTCATTCTTGCTCGAAAATTGGTCACAACCAGATTTATATTTATATTTGCAGAAACTATATTTTACTATATTGCATCAGAAACTATATCTTCCAGAAACCAGAAAATTTATATTTTCAG